CCACTTTCCTGTGGGTGTAGTCTTCAGTCCACAATGGCATCCCAGAAGGGGGAACACCAGAGGTGTCTCCCACAGAATATCTAAGCAAGACTGAGTATTTCAGCAAGGTTATACTTTTCATATAGGAACACCTCACCAATTCAGAACGTACTCTCCTCCATTCTCTTTCTATGAAAGATCTGAGGAGGGTGAGTAGCTTAGTGGCAGAACGTGTGTTCTGCATGCAGATGGTCCCAGGTTTAGTGTCCAGTTGAAAGGATCAGGCAGCAGATAATGAGAAAGGTCTGTTGCTGAGATTTTGGAGAGCTATTGCCCATAGACAACACTGGGTTTGGTGTGCAGGCAGCCTGTCCCATTCTAAGGCAGCTTCCTACTAAGTGCCTTCCCCTTTCATCCTCAGAAATGGACCATATACTTTAATTTTCCTGTTTGTGTGTGTTGATGTGCTTGCTTAAAGGGTAAGAAGGATTTTCTGCAGCACCAAGGATAACTTTACCCTCTTAAAGGGTGCTATTGCTGCTTTGTAGTGTTGGGGAAAATACAGAAACAAGCTTGCTGGACCTGCTTTTAAAGTTATCTAAAAGGAAGAGGTGGAGTAATGTATTTAAGACATTTGCTGTAGTTACTTCTTGTACTACAGTGGTACCTCAGGTTACATACGCTTCAGGATACATACGCTTCAGGTTACAGACTCCGCTAACCCAGAAGTAGTACTTCAGGTTAAGAACTTTGCTTCAGGATGAGAACAGAAATCGTGCTCCGGCGGCGCAGCAGCAGCAGGAGGCTCCATCACGTAAGTGGTGCTTCAGGTTAAGAACAGTTTCAGGTTAAGTACGGACCTCCAGAACGAATTAAGTACTTAACCTGAGGTACCACTGTATATGATAACCAGATATGAAGGGACTCTTAAGGAATAATTGTGTCATCTGGATCATCTGGAAAGAGAGAACGTGACCGTCTTCACCGTACTCCTTAAATAGTCTCTTTGGAAATGAGGCGAGTCAGGCAGGCATCAACTTTCTACCTGAAACCAGACTAACCTGGCTATTGGTACTGCAAGGATACCAGAATGTGATCAGGAGCATGATTAGATGATAGAACAAAGCTTTCGTAAGTTTTATTTGTATAGTCGCTCATGTTCCCACCCCAGTTCCTCTAGAGAAGTAAGGACAAAATTGGGATCAACTGGTTGTGTTCTAGTACGCTGCAACTTCTGTATCTTAGCATCTCATACCGCATGACCGGATTGCTCTTGCATGCACACAAGAGGTAATGCTATTTAGAACTCCTAGACAAAAGAGAATACATCTGACATTTGCTCTGGCCTAGTCTTGCATAATTTTTTGTCCTGTCACAGTATATTTAATCAGTGGTGCTTGCATGACAGTGAATGCTCTGTAAATGTAAACTGACAAGTCGAGGACTTATCTACATCATACAGGGTTAATGGCCAAGGTTAATAATAAACAGTACCCACAACATGGAAAAAAGCAATAATTCACAGATAAATTACAGAAAGCACACATCCAGTGTGATTTACCAAAGAGATCTCAGAGAAGCCTCTGTTTAGATCTCACACAAGCACAGGCTGCAGTGCAAATGAACGTGCAAGAATGTATCCTGCTGGTCTTTAGGCTAGCTTTCTTCTCTTTTCCAATGGCAATAATTTTGCTTGTAGAGTGCCTCCAAGCAGCTACGGTAAGTGAAAACAGTTATCACACCTTTTTCAAAATGAGGCGAAACCATTTTAAGCACACGCAGGCTGGTCCCACGTCCCCACGATGCTCGAGCCACAGTGGCATGCAGCAAGGTCCACACAGGAGAAGCATAAACTAGAAAGAAAAGCTCATGCACCTGGGCAAACAGCAACAGGATCCCTGCCAATGAAGCGGCTGCTTGCCAGTGATGCCCCCACATTAGCCAATCATTATGTGGTGACAGCAGGAATGCCACAATGGTATCATCCCACCCAGGACACAGAGGCAGTAGTAGTAGCAGGAGTAGTATCTTCATTTATTACCCAACCTTCGCCCAAGGCAAGCCACAATTTAAAATACAACATTAAAAAACAAATTAAGAATAATGAAAAACAAAGTAAGAATAAACAAGAACAATTTAATTAATTAATTAATTAATTAATTAATTATACCCCACCCATCTGGTTGGGTTTCCCTCTGGGTGGCTTCCAACAAAATATTAAAATACAGTGGTCTGTTAAACATTAAAAGCTTCCCTAAACGAATAAATAAACATTAAAACATTCCCTAAACAAATAAACAAGAACAAATAAACAAAAAACAAAGTAAGAATAGGTTGGATCATATAGACAGATAGATAAATAGAATGGGCCTTTTCTGCAGTGGCGCCTCGCTTGGGGAATGCCTTCCTCAGCGATTCGTGCCTGGTGCCTTCATTATATGTCTTTGGCGCCAGGTGGAAACATCTCTTTATAACCAGGCCTTTGGCTGATTAATGTTCTATGTGTGTGAGAGAGGGGTTTTTTGTTTGCTTTTGCTTTATTGTGTATTTTGTGTTCTCATTTTGTATTTTTATGTTGTGAACCACCCTGTGAAAATTTAATCAACAGCAACAGCAACAATGTTCCCTACGCCTGCTTTAGAAATAAAAAGGCATGTCCCTGGGAGTTGGGCCAATTGTGTCCCTCTGCTAGTGCTGTGTAATAAGCACAACAGGCAGTGGGGTTGTATTTCCAGGTTGTATATGGGGTTGGACATAGGGCTATCCTGTGCCACACTGTTTGTTTGGGGGGCGCCCTCTAACCTTTCACCCTCCTTCTCAACATGTTGAAATAATTACACCAAAAGGTGGAGTCATTCCCTAACGGTGTTCAAGGTACCTTTCCTTGGCTGCCCATTCCTTCTGAACTGAAGAAGCTTTTGACGTCTCCAGGATGTGCTACATTCCTTCTTTGCCAGTCATGTTGAGCGAAGCTTGCATATTTTGCCTGTTTTGATCTAAATCTGTTGCCTGCTCTGTAAATCCCTATGGCATATTGTGTAATCATATGATATACCCTAATGTGTTTAGGGGCACATGTTGTGTTGTGTCATCAATGTAAAGAACTATCATTTTCACTGGCAGGCAGTTGGAAGCAATTAATTACCCATGGATAGCGTGTACAGCTGTTGCTTATGTATGGAAACAGAACAGAAATTAGATTTAATTGGTTTATCATAATCAAGAAAGTGGCATTTATTTCATTACAGCTTTTGTCAACCGAGCCACTTGATTTTTCTTTTATTGGTTTTAGACACAATCAGGCAACATCCTCTTGGTATTGAAGAATTCCCAAATGAGATAAAATGTGGATTGTTTTCTCATTCAAAAGGGATAAGCCGTCTCAATTGCTGATTCCAAAATTGTGATACTATCAGCCCCTGATGGGTATATTAACCATACACAAAATTATGGAGCCCACAAATCAGAAAATTATTTTGTTGTTGGAGGTAACAATAGATGGGAAACAGACTAAAATGAAATTTAAGAACTTTCCCACCTAGTGAATCTTTTACTCAGTAGGGACATTTTTAGGTGTTTGTATTTTTTTTTCTTACCTGCATACACAATTTTATTTCTATGCCACCTTTCCACAGTTCAAACCATGCTCAAGGCAGCTTACCAAGTGTGTTCTCCATAATAGAAAGCACGTGTTGCGGTGGGGGTCAAAAAGGCCACCCCACTGTTGTTGGGCAAATTGGCCACATGCTGTGATTGGGCAAGGAGTGTTGCTGGGGAGAATGTTATGTTGCTAAAGTGTGGGAGGGGTCAGAGGTCTTAAATACAGGGCTCGCAGCCTGGGGGCCTTCTCTTGGGCTGCGTGCACCGGATCACCTGCCCACCCTCCCTGAAAGGGGGGGGTTCGTTGTCCTCTGACCTTGCTATGCCTGTCATGGGGTCATCTGCCTTGGAGCAGGGGCCTGGTAGGAATTTTGTCCATTTGGCTGATTGGCTGTTGCCATTTGGTTTTTGCCTACTGCGTAGCAAATCGTCACAACTTGTAAGGTTGGCGGTTAGGCATTGGTTAAAATTGGTTGGTTGATTCCGCTGGAATCCGGAGGTCAGTTCTGTCCCTGGGGCAAGGACAGATAGTTGTAACCAATGCCTAAGCAACCACTCTCGTGTGTGTATTTAAATAAAGTTGTGGCCAAATTCATGCCAAAAACCTTAAACAAAAATTGATGTGTGAAGTGTGAGTTATTGGGGTGGCCTGGGGACCTCGACGCGCAACATGAAAAAAATGCCAAACTACAACATAACAAAAGTAGTCATAAACAATAAATGAAACATAAAAAATACACAACCAAACTGAACAATTTCCAGATCTAAAATAAAGATATAAAATAACCAAATCTAAAATAAATGTACAAAAAATCAACAGCAACAACAAAACCCCAAACAACACCCCAGCTCAAGTGTCTGTTCAGCAGCCTTAGCTTTTGTAACTGAGTCAGCCAGGGCCCTGCTCTCTCAGGACACATGGGAAAAAGCCTGCAAGGCAGGGAGTAGGTCTTCCAGGACTCACAGCCAAGATGGTCTTACAATTCAATAACCCTAAATATACACTGTGTTGGCAAAACTGTGAAAAGGGAAGAATGTTTTCATTGGTGGTTACTTGGGTGTGAAAAGAAATTGTGTAGAGACAATACAATATTTTATTTTATCTTGGTCAGAGAGCATCTACTTGCCTTCAGGCTCGACAGACATTTGTAATGATGTAAAAACAAATAATGTTTGTTATTTATACCCCCGCCCCCAATCTGGCTGGGTTTCCCCAGCCACTCTGGGCGGCTTACAGCATATATAAAACATAGTAGAATATCAAACATTAAAAATAAATAAGTTCAAAATATATTTGTGGCGGGGGGAATGGAAACATCTAAATTTAGTTCAAGATGAGTATTATAAATATATTGTTTGTACCAGTGAAATCTGCATCCTTGTGGTGGTTAAAGTTGTTTATGTGCGGAAAACAGAATTTTTTTGACCCAAAACACAGACTGAGTAGGCTTCTTTCATCCCGCTTTCCTGAAATAGATTTTCAAATTATTAATCATTTGCTCTTTTTTCTCTTCTCTGCATTTCAGCTTTTACTAATACCTTCTGCAACATATGCCATTGCGTAATGCATTATAGGTGGAACGCGTGTGGCACTGTGGGTTAAACCACTGAGCCTAGGGCTTGCCGATCAGAAGGTCGGCAGTTTGAATCCCCGTGACGGGGTGAGCTCCCGTTGCCTGGTTCCTGCTCCTGCCAACCTAGCAGTTCAAAATCACGAAGTGCAAATAGATAAATAGGTACCGCTCTGGCAGGAAGGTAAATGGCGTTTCCGTGTGCTGCTCTGGTTCGCCAGAAGCAGCTTAGTCATGCTGGCCACATGACCCGGAAGCTGTACACCGGCTCCCTCGGCCAGTAAAGCAAGATGGGCGCTGCAACCCTAGAGTCGTCCATGACTGGACCTAACAGCCAGGGGTCCCTTTACCTTTACCTTTAATGCATTATAGACCATGGGTGGGGAGCAAGAGGCCCTCCAGATGTTGATGGACTCCAGCTCCCAGCATTGCTAACCATCAACCATGTTGGCTGGGAGTGGTAGGACTTGGGAATCTAACATCTGGAAGAGGGCAGGTTTCCAACCCCTGTTCTAAACATCTGCATAGGTATCACTATATCAGACCTGGACATTCCAGTCTGTGATATGGTTGGGATTGGATCAAATGGAGGAGGGTTTAAAAAATGTATTTACAGTCAACATTGAAAGCCTTTTTGGACTATGAGGAGTATCCAGGAACTTGGGTAGGGTCATCATTACCCCCAAATCACTCCTGATAGATTAATTTTTCACATGTCCAGAGGCAGAGGAAGTTGATGCACTATTTCTTCATAAGCTTTCCTTGAAATAAAAGGTTAACAGGCAGGAGCAGGATGTGACAGATTACAAAATATAAAGGACCCAGTGCAATTGCTGGCCAGAACATCTCAGTCTACTGTAACGCCCTTATACTCTTCAAGTATCTATGGATATTATAAAGAATACATGAATGTAAGGAAATCAAAGCCATCTGACGTAGCTTTGAACAAAAGTGATAAAGTATTCTGCACCATGTGAGACACAAACCTATTTTCACGGGATAGCACTGGATACATGCTAGGAAAATGAAGAGACCTTCTCTAATTGCCTGGTGTTTTTATGAAAAATATTAGACCCAAATTCTGGATGCAAGCAGTCCTGAATTTTTAAAGGATGGGATATGCTGTGCTGCAGACAGCATCCATTCATTCATGTGGAGCTCTTCCTTCCAGCACCAGTCTCTGACATCTTCCCCAACCCCAGAAAATGGGAAAACATTCAGAGTGGCACCTCATGAAGCATGAGGAGCTGTCCTCAGAAGAAAACTGTGCATACATGGAACTTATTTGTGCTCCTGCCTGGGGGTAGGGCTTGGAACCAAATCAAGATATTCAGGATGGATACAAAGGTAGAAACTAAGCATCTCAGGCTCAGCTGGCATAAACAAAGTAAAGTCTGGTGACCACTTTCAAATAATCGCACGAGGACCTTATGCCACTCGTGCGTGGAGCAGCACCAGATTGTTACGGAGATCTGTTGATTTTTCATGACCATGTTACAAATGGCAGAAATAATTACCTGTGGAATAGATGATGTAAATGAACACATCTTCTTCATTTGAGCTGTTACATTTGAAACATTCAACACCACAGCTTGTTGGTAGGAATAAAACACCCCCAATGTGGTTTTACCTCTCCCTCCCTCCTCAGCACACACATACACATTGGGCATGTTTTCAGAGAAATGTGTGGCATAAGCTCACATGGCTACCATACTCAAAGTCTATTTGACTATTGACGGCTGGGTATATGGCAGGCAGCACAGTCTGTATCCTAGTAAAGCTGAAATTTAAAACATCCAGAACAATGTGCAATTTATAAAACAAAAATCAACACATTTTCAATACAGTACAGGTACAAACTGGGCCTTCAAAGGGAGGCACTGGAACAAAAATAAAGATGGTGCCTTTCTGATTATGGCAAGAGAAGCAGTTTCCAAAGGCGATTTCCTTGTTTGTTTGTTTGTTTGTTTGTTTGTTTGTTTGTATGTTTGTGTGTGTGTAGTAAGTAAGTAAATACATACATACATACATACATACATACATATATACACCATTGTGGTTCTTCACACAAGGCCTTGATTGTTTTATCTGTTGGCTCCAGCATGACTGACCAGACTTGCCTGTGTGAAATGAATTTGTGAAGTGGACATCACCTCTGGATAGCAAACATAGCCTTATTTGAAAGGTTTGTGGGTGCACCATTAAGACAAGGCTGCTTCTCTCTGTAGCCATAAACCGATGAAAGATTTTTCCCTCCCTCCCTCCGTCTTTCAGATTGTTTCCATAACAAAAGTCAGGGTGAGTCACAGGCTGGTTTGCATTCTCAATTTGCTTTATTTGCCTTATTAGAAATCAAAGATAGACCAAGTAAGGGCAGTGCAAGCATATCTGTCATCAGCCCAGCTTTTAACATTTATTCTTTTTGTAGGGCTTCAGAATACACTGCTTGCAGCAGCTGGCAGATACAGGCAGGAAAACAACTGATCCCCCTGTCAACACCACCCAACCTTCTGAAGCCAAGCAGGCAGTTACACAGTAACACATAAAGGCCAGTGTTTTGTTTAGCCAATATCCTTGTGTGTGTGTGTTTTTCCCCCCTCCTCTTTTGTTCAGAATATGCAACGCATTAAAGGGACCTGATTAGAACAAAGGAACAGGGATCACGGTAACAATTATGATAGGAATGAAAATGCATAATTAAAAAACCCACAAAAATCAGGAAAATAATGCCAGGTGAAGATGAATACATGTCCGCTGGGAACAATTACATAGCAGATGCATCCAAAAATTCATTATCGACGTATAATTTGACATGCCCCTAGTAATGTAATTCATTACATTTACAAATAATTCATCACAGGTGTTGTCAACTAGAATGCCTCACAGGTTCTTTGTGTTATTCACTCGGAAGGGAGGAAGTGTCCAGTCTTTAAATACACGTTAAATACTTTTTGATAAAACGATTTAGCCTTTCTTTTCTTGTGAATCCTGGTGTGGCAAAGAATAAACATCACCCCTATCATTTGCTTTCTAAAATGGATTAATTTTCCACTGAGCATAGTGGGAAATTAGTACTGGGGAGGGGGTGCATGTTTACCAATTTCTCCATTTAGACCACACTTGTTTTGTATAAAAACTTGGAATTGTTTTACATACATCCTGTCCACCACGTGTGACAGTTCGTACGCACTGAAATTTATTTGAAATATTATGGAGAGCTGTACTCATTTTGGCTGACTGAATAGGAGTTTCCTGGCTTGCTAATATTGTACAGGACGTTAAATTCAATTTAGCTTGTGTTACAGAAACACTATTTATAATATAGATCCATCATACATTATGTAACTTTTCATATAAAACAAGTGTGTGCACCATGTTCCAACTAGGGGCCAAACCTGCATCTAAACAGACTTCTGCATATCCCTAGGTGGATTAGGAATTAGGAGGACGAAGAGGTATGGATAGGATTCCCTTTCTTGAATCTCAAGTTGGGAGTTCATGCATATAGCCCCACATTCAGCTGTTCCCAGTGGAAGCAAGGGCTGGGTGTACGACCTTTAAACAGCTTATTTGTGCTGTTGTTCCACCTCTTTACCGCTTTAGGAGACTAGTAAAATATTGGTTCTTCAAAAAAAAGTCTTTGGGCAGATATTTACCTTTCCTAATTCAAATGCTGTTTCATTTTTAATTACTGCATTGCTTGTTGCTGCTGTGTGAATATGTGGTTTTTACATTGGTTTTAAACTTAAAACAAAACAAAAAAAAAAGTTAGCCACCTTGGATTCATTTTGGATGTAAGGCAGAGAGAGAGAGAGAGAGTAATGAATCGCATGTATCTGAATAGTGCTGTGTGCATGTAGACCTGGCATTGGCATAAGTGTGATGTTGGATCAGGACTATTTGCATCAACAGGATCTTGTATTAAAAAAGAAATTAAAAGCTGCCAACATCTATCCCTTTAATTGTGTTTTTTATGAGAAAACTGACTGGTGAGACCAAGATAGTTAGAAACCTTTCTGATAGATGGTTTTTAGCCTCCCTTTATTTTAAACCAATGGTCAATTGTTCTATCGGCACCAAGGAATTATATATTTTTCTCTATGAGAGAGGAACACACAGGCTCAGCTCACACTTAATGCTAAGTCAGACTATTAGGATTTACTAAAGAACTTCCACCTGAGCATTTATTTGTCAGAATTGTAGTACAGTGGTACCTCGGGTTACAGACGCTTCAGGTTACAGACGCTTCAGGTTACTCCACTAACCCAAAAATAGTACCTCGGGTTAAGAACTTTGCTTCAGGATGAGAACAGAAATCGCGTGGTGGCAGCGGGAGGCCCCATTAGCTAAAGTGGTACCTCAAGTTAAGAACAGTTTCAGGTTAAGAACGGACCTCCGGAACGAATTAAGTTCTTAACCCGAAGTGCCACTCTGTTTCAAGTCTCATGGGGTAGGATCCCAAATGCTGTGTCAGTGCTTTTCTTAATGCCCTAGAGACCATCTTGCTCACCACAATCCTCCCAAACATACTCCAGAATGTTATGAACCCTCTTAACTGATGTCTTCTACAGAGTGCAACAACCGCAGTCAGAAATATAATGGCCGTCATTCATGCATAGGAATTCTTGGCTGTGCATTTGGACTCTGCATCCTCTCAAAGTTTCTAAACCCCCTGCTATGGCTTTTTCAAGGACTGGGATATTTCTTAATCAGTCTCTGTAGTAGAATATAGTAGAAGCCAACTGAGTCAGATACTCCGGTGGTTCAATCAAGTTCCAATGTGTAAGTAATATTTAGACAGCAATTCCCTCATTTGATTTCACGTCAATGTGCAATGTCAGTACAGTGGTGCCTCGCGTTACAGATGCTTCAGTTTACAGACTCCGCTAACCCAGAAATAGTACCTCAGGTTAAGAACTTTGCTTCAGGATGAGAACAGAAATCGGGCGGTGGCAGCGGGAGGCCCCATTAGCTAAAGTGATACCTCAGGTTAAGAATAGTTTCAGGTTAAGAACGGACCTCCAGAACGAATTAAGTTCTTAACCAGAGGTACACTGTATACATTTCCTTTGCATGTGTAGAGTTCTTAACATTGAAGTGAACTGGTAAATCCTTGTGGGTGCATGGATAACCATGAATGTACTAGAGCACCAATAAATATTTCGTGTAATTGGATCACATAAGCATTTTTAAAAAAATTTTTGCATGCAGCACATTCATAAACAGTGTAAATTATTTTAATTGTTGAATGTTATGTTGTCTACTTTATCTTGAATGCTTGGGGCATTTAAAACCATAAATTTAAAAGAGAATATTTTCATCAAAGATACTTTTCCCTTTTGATTATTCTTCTGCACTTCTTATGTATCTTTATTATTCTTATTGCATTTATTTATTTATTTTATTAGGCATTTAGAAATTATACCGCTTAATATAATAAAAATGTCTAAGCGATTGACAGCAAAAAGACAACAGTAGCTATCGCTAAAACCTGCTGCAAACTAGATAAAAATTAGATAAGAATGAAACACAACTGTATATCACAAATAAAACTGAGCAGTGTGCAAGATTAAGAACCAAGAGTCTAGGCAAGCTTGAGCAAATATATAAAGTTTTAAGAGGTATTTAAAGGCCATTGCAAGGTCCTTGATCTCACACAAACTCTTCTGTTACTGATGTTACCACATAGCCAAATCATTTTGGTCATGTATTGGCTTCCCATAGGAATCTGGTGAGCCACTGTGAGAACAGGATGAGGGTCTCTAGATGGGCCTTTGATCTGATTCAGCTTGGCTTTTCCTATGGAGTGTTCTGATATCATCTGTGGTTGGATGTGCCCTGGAAAAAATGGGACAACCTTTTTTTTTTTGCGTGAGGTTGTGGCAGCCATTTTGGGTGCTGCAATCTTGCGCACTCTTGTGCTGAGCTTACTCTTGTGAGACTGCAGTGAGGGTCACATGACTCACCCAGGAACACATCCTGGAAGACTCGCATCCCACTTTTCCATCAGAAAAAGTTGGATGGTAAGTATTTTATTAGATGCCACTCAATGTGCAAACCAGCTGCAATATTCCCCATCAGACTATATTTTTAACAGGACCAGCAATACCAACAAGTGGCCTTTACGTGCTTGAGGCCCACAGAGTAATCTATTTTGCGCACAATAGCTCCATTTTATAACCTGTGTTAAACTCCCTCACTAGAAAACACAGGTTATTCCCCCCTGCTACATGTCTGTCTATTTTTAAAAATCCAGAATAGGGTCTTCATTAGAATTCAGCAAGTGCTGTCAACAATTCCAGTGCTATGTTTAAAATAAATACATTTATAAACTTAAATGGGGAAACTAACATTATGGTTTCATTATAGGTATTACAATTATTATCAAACCCCTTTCCCTTTAACTCATCATTTATAACAAAGCTATCATTAGATTTGCATATTTTATTATATACTGTAACGACTTGAGGGCAATATGTCAGTAAGCATCACATTTGAACATGGTTTGAGTTTAAAATTTATTCTCAGCATAGCTCCAGTCATTTAGCAGTTGTGTTTATTATATGTCTGATCTTTATTCTCTCTCTCTCTCTTTCCCCTCTTTTAAGTTGTCTACCAATTAGGGATGTGGTGAACTTTTATTGTCATTTGCTTAGATGTCAGCAGAGCCACAGGACATTGGAAATTAAGCTTACATTTGCCTACTAAACATAAATACTGGAAGGGGTCAAGGAGGCTGACGTTTGGACAAATCTAGATGGTGGGAGAGCCAATTTGCTCGTTAAATCTTCTATGCATTTTTGCATAGTGAAGGGTTTCTTTCCCAGTGATTGAGGACCTGCACGTACAAAAGTAACCACTGCATTAAAAATAAAGAAGAAAGGAGAGGGATGTAAAAGAATAGTTTCCAGCTCCCAAAACCTCTGAATAGTATTTGACTTTCATCTTCTATCAACATCCTGTCAGTATTTCCTTCATAGGTATTCTTCTGCATATGAAAAAAGTGATGTCATTCTCCACATGCTTGCCAATTGACTTGGGTCAGATATTTTTATACTCATGGACAATAACATTTCTGTCACATCTGATGTGAATTTTAAAACCACTGCATTTTACCTGTTATATTCCCTCTTGGATAGGGTTATAGGGTTATATAGGGTTATATTCCCTCTTGGATAACAGAACTCATGTTTAATGCCACAAATGATCTCTTTGAGTGTTTATATACCTTTCCAACTGATTTTTGTTGCCTGTTCTTATTTAAAAGCACAACACCAAGTCAATCTATCTTTCCTGGCAATCTTAATGTAACCTATTTGTATGGAGGATAGATGTTGATAAGACCCATGCAGTAGTTAGCAGCACCAGTGCCAATCCCTGTTTGTGATAGACGAGGGCCTAAATCCAAAACCGTTCATCCCTCCTCCATTTCCCAATGGCAAAGAGAGACTTTGGAGCCTGTATCATCAGGAAGCCCGAAGAAGAAGAAGAAGGAGAAGAAGGAGAAGGAGAAGGAGTTTGGATTTGATATCCCACTTTATCACTACCCTAAGGAGTCTCAAAGCGGCTAACAATCTCCTTTCCCTTCCTCCCCCCACAACAAGCACTCTGTGAGGTGAGTGAGGCTGAGAGACTTCAAAGAAGTGTGACTAGCCCAAGGTCACCCAGCAGCTGCATGTGGAGGAGCGGGGAATCGAACCCGGTTCACCAGATGACGAGTCCACCGCTCTTAACCACTATAGTGCCAGGTTCCACGCCTTGTATCTCCAGGCAAATATAAAGCTCAGATATAACTTTCTACTAAGATATCTCCTTCATTCAGCCCTACAATTCCAGGGTTGTGGTTTTTTTAACCCATTGTTTATTAGGGTTTTCTCATTATAACAACAGAACAGTACAATCCCTTAGGCTCCCTCCCGTCCTTTCCATCTCACACTGTCTTTTAATTTTTTTTTAGCTACTGCATGTTCATTTCTGAATGCCTGCCAATGCCACAAAAGAGAGGAGCTAAAGAACTTTGATGCCATCTGCAGCCAAATCAATATAACATGGCACAGAGTACTTGCAAACCAGACAGCTCTCGGTGGATGGGAAGGGGGTAACTGGCATGAGCACAGGAGGAATCCAACACATGGAGCAGCACACACAGATGTGCAGCAGAAAAGGAAGCAATGAGAGGCTGTATTGTCTCTCAACATTTCTATTTGATTCATTTTGTGGATATGCCATTTCTGTTTATAATCCTTCATGTGATATAAAGAGAAACCGTATTAGGCCAGTGGACTGAATAACTCATTTCAGGCAGTTGATTCCAGAGGTAAAGCCCTCTTCCTCCCAATTAAATAGTAATCTGAACAATTCCAAAAAGCTGAAATCAACTATCGTTGTATCACAAATGCTTATAGCAGAGCAGCAACCAGCTCAGAATGTTTACGGTCTGTGTTTTGGCCACCTTATTGGTCCAAACACTAGATAACATGCATGACATAATATGCATCAGTTTTATAATGCCTGTGACTTCTCTATAAACAGAGAGAAATTCAAAATCAGAGCTTTTAAGGTATTTAGAGGAGATCAGATATACCTTCCCTGTTGATATTTCTCTTGTTCAAAAAGATGAGATATTCCTTAAAATATACATAATACTAGAATGAAGTCAATTGTAAAGCAAAGCAACCCTGAACTTGCAAATAATATCTCAATCTTTTTCACCACACTCTAGTGTAAGTAATTTTGAAACTGCTGCATTCCATTTATTGTACAATTATGTTATATTATTTTCCTATTTCCACAATGCTTCAATGAAAACATGCTCCGTATATGCCTAAGCAGTTTACCTTGTGTGAATATTTGCATTAAATAAATGAAAATTCACCTCTTTCTAAGATATCATGCAGAGACACAAAAGTGTTCCCTGCTATTATAAATATGCTTGTACTGCTATAAAAATAGTAAATGAATTTTTAGTTGGTTGGCTCAATTTAAGTAAAATAGACTGAGCATGCATCTTTATGAAAATGGGCTTATTTAACCATAAACCACAAATATTTCCATTAAGTATGCTTTCCAGTTTGGCTCCTAATTCCAGGATTTTTATGGATGTGGGCCTTTTTGAGCTGTGTTAAATCTCAAGTAAGATTGCTAATGGGATTTTTTTCTTTTTTTACACAAGAATTTGTTAAGGACATAAGCATGAATCGGATAAGTGGGGAAAGCTATGTTATGATAATCCTGTAGCCAAAAAATGAGCCACAAATTAACCACTGATGCTACAAATGCAGGGGCTTCTGTACAAGTCTCCCCAGCTGCATGGGGAAAGGGCAAGAAAACGGATGCTGTTAGTGATTTCTGATTGCCATTCAGCAGCTGGAGGAAGGTAGTATTCCAATAGCCAGCAGGCTGACCGAGTCTGGATTCAATGTCTCATTCTATCACCATGCCAATGGCTGGTCAATCTGATTATAGGGTCCTCTATGGCCCCCAATGCTGTGCTTATTTCCTGTTGGATTGGAGCCTGAATCTGTCCTCACACAGAGTTTAAAAATTATAAGAGTTCCAAGAAGAAGTTAGAAGAAAAACAACCCTGTTTTGGTGCAATTGGCCAGATATTGTTCATTTGTTCCTTTCCATCTCTGAGGATCTCTTTTGGGTGGGAATTTCCTTATTCTGTTTTCATAGGATCAATTAACCCCATTAATAAAAACTATTCCCTTTCAGTCTGGGTGACTCCTCCCTTAGCAGTGAAAGTAGGAAATAGTGACCTAGTTCAGATGGGTCAAACAAGACTGTGCTTTATTAGCCCAGTTCAATGAGAATGGACAAAGAAAGACAACTGGGGTGGGGAAAGTTTTGTCAATCTCTCTTGGGAGAGACCTCCAGAGTATTGGGGCTGCCACAGAGAAGGACCTGCTTCTTATGCAGGTCAATCTAGCTTCTAGAAGAAGTGGAAGGTGGGGCAGGACTGTCTCATAAGATAAATAAATTCATTCCAGCAGCACCTTAGAGATCAACTAAGTTTGTTATTGATATGAGCTTTTGTGTGCATGCACACTTCATCAGATACCTGAAGAAGATATTTGAAGAAGTGTGCATGCACACAAAAGCTCATACCAATAACAAACTTAGTTGATCTCTAAGGTGCTGCTGGAAGGAATTTATTTATTTTGTTTCGACTACGGCAGATCAACATGGCTACCTACCTGTAATCAGAAGATAAATTTGAGACTGGGGGGACTAATGTGAGAAGGTGTTCATTGAAATTATCAGGACCCAAGTAGTTTAGGGCTTTCAAAGTCATGGTAACTACTGGCTGAATAAAATGTCCCACTAACTCAACTAAAGTGAAAACCTTCTCAGTAAAGGAATTCCATGTGCTATTCAGAATGTTTATTTGCACAAGGAACCATTGAATCAGAACAATATGCTATAATAAATTCCTTTTGCTAACCATTGTCACAAATCTGTACCTCCCCCTAATCGAAGCCCAGCTCTGGAATATTTTTCCCCTGTCTCTTATGCAGCTTGGGTACAGGAAATTTTATGCTTACAAGCCAGGAGAAAAAAGCTCTCACAAATGAATGTGGGATGCCTAGGAAGCAGAAACTTGAGAGTTGCAGCCTTATTAATTTACCTTTATTTTCAAAGGCAGCATGTTAATTTGATCAGATATTCCAATTACTGTACATGGAGTTCAAAATCGTTACCCTTTCTTTATAATTGCATTTCTTCCTTTTTGAGGGGAAAAGACGATATCCCAGAATGGATTCTTTGTGAATAGAAGTGACAAAAATTAAACACCATCTTTAAAGAATAGCACATGGAGAAATGAAAGGTATGAAAAAAATGTATTTCTATGATACTGTCTGTAATTCATGCTGGATAATCATGATCCCAGCAGTTAATGACCTCCACTTGGAAACATTAAGACCAACCGAAGATAATGGTGTCCCGTGTAAATTAACAAACCCAGTGGTAAACTGGATTCCAGTTCAGCGGGAGATAGTGTGAAAATTAGCATTCATTCTTAATAAGATCAGTGTCCTGCAAGCGACAGTCTGTACTGTTCATAATGCTGTTTCTTTTCAGGTGACAATTCTGTCTCCTGAGGGACACTTACACAATGCTTTCGCCTGACAGAGAATCATCCTCACCCTAATCAGTCCACTGCTTCAAAACTTTCCCCCTTTCTTACACTTTCCCACTGAGAGCACTGCTGTGAGTTGTTGGGAATGATTATTCATTTGTTAGCTTCTTTAATAACATTTCCTGTCGATATAGAGAGCCCCCACGGAGCAGGATAAGGATTTGATTTGAGAACTATGCAACAACAGTAGCGGTCACTCTAGGAGCAATTGTTTCCTAATTTATCAATCATTCCGCATTAATCTCTAAAATAATGCAAAATAGGTGAGGTTCTTTTCATTTGCATTTTGTTTGTATAAAAGGTAGAGGACCTTTCTTTCTTGTTTTCATCTCATGCTGGTCACATTTTGAACATACAGTGGTACCTCGGGTTAAGTACTTAATTCGTTCTGAAGGTCCATTCTTAACCTGAAACTGTTCTTAACCTGAAGCACCACTTTAGCTAATGGGGCCTCCCTCTGCCGCCACACTGCCGGAGCACGATTTCTGTTCTCATCCTGAAGCAAAGTTCTTAACCCGAGGTACTATTTCTGGGTTAGCGGAGTCCGTAACCTGAAGCATCTGTAACCTGAAGCGTCTGTAACCCGAAGTACCACTGTATTCTCTAGTCTTCATTTAAGGACATGTAGCTCAGGAAACTACAACTCTCCAAATTTGTGTCCCTCCCCATGGAAACACTCTGCACCCATTGTGGGTATTGTCACAGCTTGCCAACAACTGTTCTACATAGGTGTAGTAAAATAAATATGGCAATAAATCATAGAATTGTAGCATTGGAAGGGTCCACAAGGGTCATCTAGTCCAAGAATCTTTTGCTCAGTTTGGGGCTTGAACCCACAACCCAGAGATTAAGGGTCTTGTGCTGGACCAACTGAGCTGGCAATCTTTGGCCTTCCTGAGGACCACTCTGTTCTCAGGCAGTGATCCAGGGGCTGACTGTGTCTTTTCCTACACAACCAAACACCTTCATGGGTGATCACAGGGGCAAAACTGGGCTTCACCCCTCCAATATGTTTACTGAAAGTTCAGAAAAGTACATAATTATATGTGCACTAAACATGGTGAGATGTAAATAAGAGAGAGAGAGAAAGAGAGAGAGAGAGAGAGAGAGAGAGCACCCGTGTAGAAGGGAAAATAAAGGGGGGAGGGGAAGAAACCCAAAATTATATACTTTACAAAGTTGTTGTACTTCACCAGTCCTTAACCCATTACAGTATTTGTAAGAATGGATTCCAAATATCATTGAATTTGTCCATGGCAAGTCTGCATTTATATGCAAGTTGTTCATATGTTGTTTGTTTGTATAAGTCTTCAATCCAATCGTAGAAGGGAGCCACATGTTTATTTTTCCAAAACAAAATGAAAAAACATATGTTTTAGAGAAGAATTATCCCTATTGCATCTCCAGCAGTTAGATACCTCAGATAGCGCTTTTTAAAACAAATGTACCGTAATGGGGTCCAGTATATTCTAAATATTATTTTTAGTTGCATGAGCCTCAATTTAAGGTCCAGAGACACCCTTGTTGTAGCAGTTAAAACAGTTTCCCACTGTGTGGTTGAAACTGAGATATCTAATTCTTTATTCCAATCTTCCCTCAGTACCTGTATATCAAATTGGTTTGCTAGTAACAAAGATTTATATGTGTTGATGGCCGTTTTGTTGTTGTTGTTGTTGCATAAGAATTAATCAACTGCTTCAATATCATTGGGGCAAAACTAGGCTTTATTTCACCTGGGTCAATGACCCAGTTTGGCATCCCCCTATGTGCATTTGTGTGTGTGTGCGCGCACACACGCACACACACACACACACACACAGAGGTTGGGAGCCTCAATGGCATCCCTCTGGAGGCTTCACCCAGGGCAAAAAACCTGGCTAGCTCTCCTCATAGCGATGGCTCCTGGGATCAGCCTCCATATTAATATGCTGCTATCCTGCAGTAAGGGCTTTACAATTCTGGATGTGGGTATGAAAAGAGAGGTGTAATAGTAAAGTATGGAATCTTTCTATTTTCAGCGATTTGAAAACCTTTCCAACACAGTTGGGTGCTACAGTTAGAGCAAGTCCGGAGCAGGTTTCCAGAGAACTGTCTGTCCCCTCTGTACTGGATTAGTTTCAAGTATTGTGGGCTGAAGTTGTGGCAAGTACAGCCAATCATGTGCTCCCTGGACCCCTGCCTACCTTGACTTCTTAAAGTTAGCCATGAGGGATTGACTAGGTGGATCCAGGGAGAGATTAATGCTTCATTGTACCAGGCAGAGGTACTATTTGCCTCGATTTCAGTGAATTTAGAATGCAAAACTGCATAGGTTCAGAGTATTTCTTTTTTTAAAAAACCTCAAGGGTAGCAAACTGTTGCTTTAACATACCATGTAGAAGCAGTTAGAGAAATGTTAATGTGGCTATCTACAGAGGAGCCCTGTAAGACCATTAGCTCAAAGTCTAAAATTACCTAGTCGTATTATGCGATTCAAAGAATGGCAATGGGACTAAGACTAGTGTATGTTATTGCTAAATGTTTCCCATACATCAATACAAGAGTTGCCCCATAGGGCTTTATGGAATTACTCTACATAATCTTTTGGAGGAGTTCAACCAAAGTCCTGTTTGCCTGTGGCGTACCCTCATAAATTCCCCCCTAGAAGTTCTGCAAGTAAAACTTTCATATCAACTCTTGCCTGAGTAAACCTCTCACGATAAAATGTTTACCTTCATTGACATGCACTATTATTTCATGATTATTTTAAAATACACTTTAAGAGTTTTACATGTTAACCAGCTACTAAGAATGCCTTAATAGAGAAACTAATTTTTGTTCGAGGTGTCTCGACAATTTGAATTTTATATGCATGCATTATGTTTTCTTAAAATGGGGAAATTATGCATCTGAAGGAATCTGTCTAGAATAATGGGGTTCTATAGAGGTTACTTTAATCACATTCACTAGCAGTTATAGCTGTTTTACATCTTATCTGCAACAAAAGGGAACTCTAATTATCTTCAAAAAGAGCACAAAATGGTGTGCTTTGCTGCTGATGCAATGTTGATTCGTGAATACTGCTGATAGGAGCTGACAACTAAATACATGTCACACTTTTCAAAAATCAGTGATGGTGACAGGATAACCCTCTTTTGTGACCTGGAGACCAGTGATGGGGTATATATTTGCTTGTTAAGTAGAAACAATTTACAGTTTTCACATGAAAAAATAATAATGCTGCTATAGATGTGCTATTGATTATTTTTAACAGTGTCCCCATTCTGTTGCAGCTTGGAAGGGGCCTGCTGTAAATTAGATTTAAGGCATACCGTCTCCAAAGCACACAGTGTGTATGAACTGCAGAATAACTTTCTTGTGCATGTTTCCTTCACACTGATTACAAATGCTGCTACATGGACTTTTTTTTTTCTATATATGGTCATGGATATTTACTGAATATGTAATTAGTGATTTAAAACAACAACAACCCACCAATGTACATTTTACCATTGCTTATATTTCACTAGGGAATTAGTTTCAGAACAGTCAGACCACCATTTAGTTCAATATTTTTCACACTGACTGCAAACAGCTGACAGAGGTCTTTCTAAGCCCTACTTTACCATAGCAGTCAACTTTTCCCTTTCCTTGCGAGGAATCCTATTCAGAATAAGGGAATTTCCCTTTAAAAAAAAGGGAAACGTTGACAGCTATGCACTTTACATGCTAGCGTGTTTTGTTTTGTTTTGTTTGTTTTTAATACCAAAACTGAGCTCATGATTCCATTCTTGGTTGTCTCTGTCCCCTGTATTTCTTATCTTTAGCAATCTGCTTTAGAGGGGGGGGAACCATTTTGTTGTGATTGTTGAAACACTGGAATTCAGAAATGCTTGGAGATCTCCTGCAGGTCATCCAGTTATCTGCCTTCCGCCTACCTTTGATCCACCTTTGCTGTGGGAATGTGTGTGTGTGGGGGGGGTGAATTTAAGATGGGAAAGATAA